TAAATAACTCGCAGGAATCTTTCTCGAAGCATTCTTAGTTTCACACAAAAACTCGTGAGAATTACCTACTAATCGACTACATATTATTATTTTGTTACTACTCTTTTTCTATCTTGAACTCATTAAAGATCAAAAGAAAAAAAAATGCAAAACTGAATAGATTAATTAGAATTAAAAATTAATTAAAGAAAATTTTGTCCCCTTCTTTTGCTTATTAATCTAGCTTTTGTATAAATGCTTATATTTTAACTTCATATAATTTTAATTACATCATTTCCATACCTAAAGAAATTAGTATTTAATGTTTTTTTAAACATTTACGATATTTTTGTTTCATAAAGCAGGTTTTCATAATAAAATACAGAAATTGAAATAAATGTCGATTTTATCAATTGTTTGTAAGAGAGTTATACATGAATTTTATTACTATCGAAATATAGTGGAAAACAAAGCATATACGTTTTAAAGCATTTTGCATGTCGGTCTAAAAGTTTCTAAACTTTCCTCATTTTCTTTTAGATTATAATTTAAAATTGTAGCAATTTGTTATTCTGTAATTATGCTCTTCTATTACTTCAAATTTTCCTCCTCTGATAGCTATTAATTTAAACTGATTACATTATTATTTATATGTATCATAAACGTGGATTAGAATTGTTACTAATCAGGATAAATATGAGCAACATCGTTTTAAACAAGTAAACTGACTAACGGTTCATAATTTACTTTTTTTTGTAGTGTATTAAAAATGTTAAAGCCTTAGTTTGTCTCGTTTAAACGAAAGTTGAAAATGAAAGAAAGAAACAACGGTACTGTTATTGATAAAGCTTATATTAAATAGCTTAAAAGTAATGAATAATTAAACGAAATTTTTCTTAAATACTTTTCGCAACTATGTGACTTATAAAATATTCTAAGAGAAAAATAGATGAATAAAAAAAAAGGTTAAAAAGCAGGAAAAAAGTGATTCCTCAAAATTGTTGAACAAATAAACGAAGTGAATATTAATAGAAAACTAAAATGAGAAAATTTTTTACTACAGAAATCAAGTAAATGTTACTCCTAAAAATTCCAAACATATTGGTTATTTTGAATTCAACTTCAGTAATTAAGTTGACCTAATCATTTAATAAATAATAATTCCACATATTAAATTAATAAAAAAAACTTTTTTTAAACAAAAATTTAAATAAAAATAGGAATTTAAAAAAAAAAGAAAACCAGTAAAATTAATTTTTTAAATTTTCTATGACACCCGCAGCCAACTTAAAGAAAATCCACACATCTTCAAAGAAAAAAGTTTGTTTTTATAAGCAAATATTTTTATTTATTTAACTATTTGCGTAGCATTTTTTTATTCGTATTGTACTAAGATTTCTCACTTTGAAACGTTTTTTATTCATCAAAACATTTTTTTTAATAATTAGAACTTTTTTTTATAGCTATATACTTAAAGATCCATTTTTCTGAAATTGCAATTAAAACCTTCAATTTTTTGAAATGTTTTAAACACATTAAAAACGTCTTTAAATATTTACAATAAATGCTTCAAAGTGAAAAAAAACTTTAGCTATGGTAAGTTACCATCTATTTATTAGAAAACTAAGGATAATCATAACAATATACAAATAGAAAAATTAAAATCCCGTTTTATTATTTTGTTCCGTTAACAAAATGTAGCGTATGCTTTACTGACGAATGAATATATTTGTATTTCATTCCTTTTCTTTACTCTTAGTCCCCTAGAAGTCAAGCGCGGAAAACTAGTAAATATTTTTTACTACAGCGCAGTCCGAAATTTTCGATATATAGTTGTAAACGTTGCAAATAATGAAAGTTAGATTGGTAGATTGGTAGAAAAAAAGAATGTTAAAATTTACTTCGAACTTAACACAACCGAGAATAAGATTGATCTCGATTGTTTAAGACTACTAATGAGAAAACGATTTCGAAAAAGGCACCATTTATCGTTTGCTCAAAACATACTTCCATGCGTTGTTAATAAATAATGCTCGCCATTTTTTTAAATTTTGTTTTTTAATTCTCACTACAGTATAAATAAAAATAATAAAAAACCAGAAAAATAATCATTTAAGTTCAAAGAGAATACGATAAAACTATTAAATTTTGTCCTTATGCAAATTAGAAATTCTTTCATTGATATTGTTTAATAAATCGTACTAGTATTTGTATCGTATTTTGTTTTTTAAAAACTTTGTATTTGTTAAAAAATTGATAATAAAATTTGTGTGAGAATGAATTCAAAAATATGCAATTCCTCAAATCGTTAGCTGAAAATAATTCCCCCCCTCCCCTCTTCATATAAGTAGTGTTGGTTTCCAGAAAAGAAATGATAAAACACTTTTGCATGAATAGATTTGCAAGTTTTTTATTTTTAATACTTTCTTTAGAACATGTGACTTTAATTTTTGCATTATAAATCCTCTCTTAATTTTACATTAGTAACAATTTCATTGAATTTGAACTACTTTCTTAAAACATAGCACATTCAATTTATTTTACTATAAAACAAGTATGAGATAATAAAAAGACTTTCACGAACTAGGACAATTGTTATTAAAGCAGATAAAATTGGCTTGTACCAAATGGTTTAAACTCGAATGAAGATTGAAAACTGAGATTTTATAGTTTGGTACGAAACGAATTATTTCACCGGCGAAATTAAAGCTAATAAATTTAATAATTAGCTAGTAATTTTCAGTAAATCTATGAAAATTAAGACTTTTATGAAATAGTAATTACAGAATTTTTTGTTTTAACAAATTGATGCACTTCATATCACGGAGTAAAAAATAAATATTTTGGAATTATGAAGAAAAATATCGATATGTAATTTAATCAACTAGTATCGTTTGCATGGATGCTTTAAAGTTCTTTTTTAAAAATTTGCTTAAAAAAAAAGAAGACTATTATTTAATAACTCCAAACAAATATTTTTGCATAAATATTTCAGTGCCTTCTCATTTTTTGATATTAATTGCTCATAGTTATATATGCTTATATTTAGAAGTTAAAATGATTTTCCTTTGTAAATATTCAAAGTAAGTATAATTTATTTCCACTATGCTCTTTACGCCTTTCAATAACTTAATAAACAACTTCATTTTCTGCAATGTAAAATATCTGATTGTTTTATAAAACGTAAGTGTTACTGCTAAATTTCAATATTCGTGAAAGTGCTATTAAAAGTATAAAGATGAGCAACTACAGAGAACGAAATAAATTAATATTATCAGCTTCTTGTGTGAGAACCTTTTCCTAAAATTTTTTTTCTTAATGCATTCAGTCTTCGAGTTCAAACTTCTTAACCTTTTGATACGGTTAAGTTAAGAGTGCCCCTTATAGTTATAATTTAAAAATTATAATATGTCTAAAAGAAATGTCTCGTTTTTAGTGTTATTCAAATAAATCAATTAAGTGAGATGTATACGGCGTAAATTTTGAGTTAACAACTCCAGTATGTATTTAATGTAAAATACTATTTCAAAACTTTAAAACTAAGTTAAGAGGAGAAAAAAATAATATANGCACTCAATTATTTAACATAACGTGGCATTAAACTATTAAAATTTATAACTTGCTTATATAATCAAAATTATATATATATATATATATATATATATATGTAAAATGTAAAATTCCAAATTATCAAAATATTAAAGCTCCCAATCTGCAGAATATTGTAGAATGTATAGGTTCTTCATTTAATATCAGGTCAATATATTTGTTTAACACGTCCTTTTTAGACATTCTCTCTTAATGCTTTACTAAAACCACGATAATAATATCCTTGAAGAGTTTGAACAATAAGGATGAAATACTTTAAAAAATTCTTTTGTATTTAAAAAACTATGAATTGAACATCGACTATAAGTTATTGAAAAAAATAAATTTTTTCAATTATTAATTATTTTTATAAATAATGTGTTATTCGTAATTGTGTATATCAAACATTATTGTTGCAGAAGGAATAAAAGTTAACCCAGCTAATGTATTCCTACTGTAAAAAATAGTTGCCGAAAAAAAAATTCATTAATTTTCTAGCAAAAGCTTTTTTTAAAAAAAATACTAATTATTATTTTCATTCGTAGATGTTTATTGTATAAAATATTTTTACAGGAATAGTTAAATAGAATCTAACTTATATATTCATATAAAAAATGTTAAATCGAACATCGATTATTTGTTATAAAAAAAAACTGTATATTTTTCCAACTTTTAATTATTTTTATATATAATTCTTATTCGTAATTGCGGGTATCACTCATTATTGTTACCGAAGTCATGAAAGCGAACTCAGCAAACATATTTCCATAATAAGAAATAATTGTTGAAAAAAAATGTGTAATTTTCCAGTGAATGTTTTCTTAAAAAAATATATATATTAGTGGTTGTATGTTAATCAAAATATTTTTACGAAAATAATTAAAATGAATGTAACTAGCATACAGAAAAAAAGAATAGTAAATTGAACCTCGAACATTTAGTTGTTAGAAAAACTGTTTTTTTTTTTTTTTTCCTTTCTTTTTTTTTCAGTATGAGTATTTTTTTTATTTTTATAATTAATTTTTATTCATCATTGCGTATTTCACATATTATTGCTACGGAAATAATAAAAGATGACCCATTTAATATATCCCCTCTATAAGAACTGATCATTTACGAAACTAAACAAATACTATATAACTATACCAAATTAGTATTTTTTTTTTTTAATTTCAAAATATGCTGAGAAACAATTCAAGTATTATGTAATTATTGCAATGTCTTATTTATGTGGCTGCGGGTGAGTAACAGGGGAAAAATAGTGCTGAATCGACAACAAAAGGAAAAAAAAACTAAAAAGAAAAAAATCAAATTTAAATAATGAATAAAGAAGATGTTGGGGGTGAAGAAAAGAAAGAAGAGAGAGAAAAAAAGAAGAGAGAGGGAAGAAAGAAAAAAAGTTGGATTTGAAAAGAGGCGTGTTTCCCCCTTACCTTCTTTATGGTCATGATCTCTCTCTAGTTTAGCTCTTGTAGCATCTGCGAGAAGATGATGCACACGATGTGGAGGAGGATATACACCGACGGCGGCCACGGTTGCGGCCACTCCATCGCGCAGCAACCTTTCCGATTCCATCTCGGACAAACTTTCCGGCCGAATCGTGGCCGTGTTCCGCGGCTGACGCTCATTTTGAACAGCTGAATGAGAAAAAAATTGTAAATAATCATTTATTCTGTGCTATAAATATATAAAATTAACTCTTTATGCTCCGGTGATGTTTAAAAAAAGGAAATTAACGGATGTGATAAACAAAGATTATAAAAGGGTGGAGATCCGAAAATAATGTTTTTGTAACTATCTGAGAAACTTAAGAGAATGCTAATTTTTTTTAACGCTTGTTTCATTGCATTTTAAAAATTATTGTTGTATACCAATGTGTAATGTGCGTGCTGGTAAATTTTGCATGCGAAATTTCTATAAAAATATGGTAAACATTACTTTCAAATTTTTTTTGCAATAATCATGTGACACAGATGGGACACAAGAGTCCTTTCATATATATATTTTTTTCTGACTCTTTAATTGAAAGAAAATATATATTTTAGAATTTTTTTCGATTATGAAAATAGTCTAATAGCTACTAAAAAATCTTAACTCATCAAAGTTATATTTTCATTAAAATATACAATCCAAAAAAGTAGTTTGAACAACAAAAAAATTTTCATTCATCTTTAAAAATTTATCGATAATTGATCTTAAAAATTAGAGAAATTCCAATGATTACTAAATGGTTTTCTTCGATCTAAATAAGTGAAAATTTCGGAAATGAACCCTGTTTGAAAGATTTTACCTTTAACTTAGAGAAAGAAGCCGGTGTCCCATACTGTATTTCACAACCAAAAATTACTGAAATGGTAAATACGCTATTTTTCACTTATTTTATTGTAGGTTGATACAAAATAATAAAAAAAGTATGTAAAATTCTGCTTCAAAGAGTTACGCAAACGTTTTGTAAGGGAAAAAAATTATTTTTATTCCTGATGAATTCGTGACAAAAAAGATAATAGAAGCCCCGATTTATTTAGATATATTTAAGAATGAAATCAATTATTTCAATAATTATTTTCGCATTAATACGGTGAACTTCTATTATTACGTAAAAAAAAGAAGGTGAGTAAATAATTTTACCTTTCACCGATAAATACTAATTTTAAAAAAAAGGAATTTTCGAAATTCAAGCATGCTGTTTTAGGCATGATCATGGATTTTAGAGAATCCTGTACTCTACCTTCCACATTCCGAAAATAAGTGTAAATTCTACAGAATAAAACCCTATTTCTTACAGAAGAAAATTGCTTAAAGATAAATATAGATTTTTTTTCCGTTTTTAAACGTTGCCAGCGCGTTAAAAAATATTCCCGTTTTTATTTATATATATATATATATATATAAAATTTTAATTACAAAGTGTCAACTTGAGTTAAGAGAATCTAGATCAAGTTCATTAAAAAAAATATCAGTTAATCTATTCTTCAATAACTAAAAGCTGCTTGGCAAGGAAATTTTCATACAAATTTCCAAAAGTAGTTTGACAAAGGTTAGACTTCACCTACAATTTACCCTTATTAATAAGTAATTCATCTCCTATTAAAATCTAGAATAATTATTACAGAACAATTATTACGACACATTTAGCCGTACTACAAAACTACAAAAAAGGACTAAAAAAATTTAATTAAGAAATCTGTTTAATTAGATATTTTATAAGTCTACAGTCAGGGTTGGGTTTTTGACGTCAAAAAGTGGTTTTTGACATGACAAGGGTATAATACTGGTTTAAACCGTCAAAAACCCGTCAAAAATGTCAAAAACTGAAATTTGCCAAGAAAATATATAAACTTCAAAACTACCAACAGTTGCCATGCATTATATTGAAATTTAATTATACTATAGGTAATCAGCAGGTTTTAAAATATTTTTTAATTAAAATTAAGGTAAAATAACAGATTTAAAATCTCAGAAATTTATATTCAAATGCATGTGCAGAAAAATTTTGC